CTGCCTTTAACATGTGACGTGGCGGCAGGTTGCGCCTGACAAATTTTGACATTAGTTTTGCACGCGCGCGATATCGCCAGTGCAGGTGCTGTGTATCGCTTGGTATTTCATCCAAGGTCTCTCCCATTCCTCCATCAGGTCCTCCATGCATCACAAAGAGTTCCGATGTCCCACATGTTTCCATCTCTAAGCTGCCGCGCCTGCTGCTGTCTCACTCGGCCCTTCGAAGCCTTGGAGTGTACATGCATCATCGCCGCGCGGTCTATCAACAACTCGGCTCATCTCATCAGCTCCCTCTTTAATTCGACAGCCTACCTTTTGCAGGCGACAGTAAGCAGGCGGCCAGAAGCGGCGAGGCTTGGATGTGACAGCACTACGTACCCTCGTTTAATGCAACATGCGGTTTCGTTGTGGCTTCAGAGGCGCCGCCAGCAACCAGCAACGCACGGTTGAGATGAGCGAATGAGAGCGAGATTGCCACACTCAATCATCATCATCGACATCTATCCTCAAACATCACAACATCGCAACACCCAAGACCATGCATAATAAGAAAGAGGGTGAGTCGAGGAGGGAGGGGGAGCAGAGGAGGAGAGGCAGAGTAACATATTCGCCGAATGATAAAGCAAAACAAGCAAACCAAGGAATGAAACTCTTGGAGCTCCGCCCTGCGTCAGCACCTCTCGGTCTTAGTTCGAGGATACTAATAGTAGAGGACCCTTGGCCTTCGCAAGGATTCCCTGGGCGCCTCTGGATTCCAAGACTCTGCGACCCAACTTTCGGACCTTCGGAACTTCTGTTGGTTGTAGATAAGAAGGGGAAGGATGAAGGAGAGCCCCTTAGGGCCGTAGGGCGGCATGCATGAGGCTGAATCCCCAATCCCAATTGAAAGGCGCCGAGGGGACTCAACGAGAATGAGTTGTCCCGGGGTACACGGGCCCTCTTGCTGGAGGGATTCACGCAAATCCTTAGGCCTCCTCCTATCAGCGCTCCCACCTCCTCCGCTCCGGGCCCTACTTCGCCCACCCGCCCCCGCAGCCCATTTGGCGCAGCTGCGTTCTTGCAGTGATACGAGGTGCACCGAGGGCGCCTCTGACTTTACGACGCCGGCTCTACGACGTACCACAGCCGCTGCAACCATGCCCAAGGCCCCGAAGCGGCAGCATGCTCAGCATGAGGATGAGTCGAGAGCCATGGCAATGTTGGAAGCGGAGGGCATGCCTGAATCTCCTTGGGCCAACGATGTCATTCGCAAGCCTTCTGGCGTACTCCGCAGCGCCTAGGACTGGGCCCTAGGAAAATATCTGCGATATGCTAGGCTATGCAGCAGACTATGCTATGCGCTGCAATGCGCAAGCGGTAATAGCATGCAGATGTTGCTGCAAAACGGGCGGCGGGCGGATCTCCATCCACGAAAGGTTCCCAGGTCTGCACGGCATCATGCTTCAACGAAAGATTCGTAACACATACTACTTGGAGGAAGGGCTCTGGTCGCCATGGTTTGCAGAGGATGGGTCGAAGATGTTCTCCCGCCACCCCAAGAATGACCGCGCCGAAGCTGATACCAGGAGGATGCACAAGGAATCCGTGCTCAGAGAGGGCCTGAGTCAAGGCATCAACGGCGATGTGATCGCTGTCCCGACGAGCTATGGGTCCGACAGGAAGTTCATGCTCATGAGTTTTGCCACGCGGATGGAGGCGGTCTATGATGCATACGAGGAGGATCCGACGAATCCCATGGTCCAAGAGACGATCCGTTGCGGCGTGAAGAACATCGTCGTGGTGGACAAGCGCAGCCCAGACGACATCTTGAGGGCGCTGAAGGAGGGGAACAATAAATGGAACAAAATCGGTTCGGAGATGAGCTACCTGGAGCGCTACCACATGATTAACCAAGTCGAGCAGAAGTGGAAGGCATACTGCAAGAAGAGGAAGTTCGACGAAGAGGGTGATGATGAAGATGCCGCCGCTGCTGAGATAGACGACTCGGATGGAGACGGAGTCGGGGATGCCAGCTACGAGAAGAGGTACACCGAGTTTCTGGACGCACACTTCAAGGACCAGTTTTCGTCCTTCAACCAGTTCTGTGAGTGCAAGCGCGTCGTCCGCAGATTGTCTGCGCCAAGCCTCGGCGGGTTGCACCAGCAGTACGAGGAGTACGCGAACGCGCACTGCCAGTTCAGCAACAAGGAGTTGAACCAAGGTTTAGTGACGCACGCAAACGATCAGATCTGCAAGAAGATGAAGAAGTTCTTGGTCGCAGAGATGGCGCCCTACCTGAAGATTCTTTTATCCATGGCCCTTCCGACCAACGACTTCGTGCCATGGGTATTCAAGACCAGGCCGAGCATGTCAAAGCTGTCCAATTTGCTGCAGGTTATGAGAGAGTCGAAAGTGTTCCAGCTTTCGAAGGTTGCGCAGGCAGTGGAGCCCGGCGGCCGCGGCCGCGGCAAGAGCAAGGCGAAGGCGAAGGCGAAGGCGTCGGCGAGGGCAAAGCCTGAGAGCATGACCGCAACAACGCTTTTCATCAACGACGTCCACAACGCCATCGCCTACACTCTCCAAGGTGTTCCCGTACATGGACATTATATTCGAACCCTGTGGCCCAAGATGCCCCCCCGAACCCCCGAATTTAATATTGATGGCGTGGCGACGGGGGGGGCGTGAGTGGACAGAAATATTCGAACCCCAAAGCACCGCCTTTGCTGAGATCAACATTGATGTCGGGGGCGCGGGGGTGATTCAGAATCTCCCTCGAATGTGTGAGGGGTCGAATATATTGTCCATCTACTGTCCATGGCAAGGTTTGTGTAGTTCTGCACATTGCTCAAAGCGACCCTCATAAATCCAAGATCCCATGACTTGGGGGAGAAGGTGGAGGAGGAAGCGAAGGATGAGGAGGATAAGGATCAGGATGAGGAGGACGAGGAGGATGGGGATGAGGATGAGGATGCGGAGGACCAGGAACAGTAGTGAGAGACAGGAGGAATGAGAAGGATGAGAATGGGAGGTGGTGGGGAGGAGGATCAAGCGGTGGAGCGTGGAGGATTTCTAAGCAGGTGCGGGAGGAGTGAATCAGAGGAGGCAGGGACGAAGAGGCGATGGGAGGGGAAGTGAGGGCATGGGGAGGAGGGGAGGGGAGGGGAAGGGAACGGCGAGGGGAGGGGATCGGAGGGGGCCGAAAGAGGGATGGAAGGAGACGGTCCTGTGAAGGCCTGCCTTGGGCCGTCCTGGAGGCCTCGGAGGCCCCATGGATTACCGGAGCTGCGGTAAGTTCGATTTTGCCTGCCCAGGGTTACATGTTGCTGTCGTCCCACCGCCCACAACAGACATCGGGTGCATTATCGAAAGCTGGAGACGGTCCTGTGGAGGGCTGCCTTGAGCCATCCTGAGGCCTCCGAGGCCCCATCGTTCCCAAGGCTGCGAACGGGTCGGTTTATTCCTACCCAGGATGATATAGTCAGCGCATACACATGATTTCGATTTTTTTTTCTGCACATGCTGTTCCTTCGTTCGCCGTCCTTGGGTCCTGGGTTACCGCGCTCCCTTCGTCGTCGCCATGGCAGATGGATAGGCGCTTGCTCGTGATATTGATGGGGGCGTTGTCTGGTAGGCTTTCAGGAAAGCAGCTGGCGAGGCAGCCAACGAAGCAGTCTACGAGGCACCCAGCGAGGCGGCGAACGAGGCCTCCGACGAGGCAGCCCGCGGGGCAGCCAAAAAAACAGCCGTCGAGGCAACCAGCGAGGCAGCCAGCGAGACGGCCAACGAGGTAGCCCACGAGGCAGCCAACGAGGTAGCCCACGAGGCAGCCAGCCAGACAGCGAGGCGGCCGACAGGGCAGCCAGCAATGCAACCAACGAGGCCACTGACACAGCACCCAGCAAGGCAACCAACGAGAAGGCCAACGAGGGTGCCGACTAGACAGCCAACAAGACAGCCAACGAGGCAGCCATCGAGGCAGACAGCAAGACAGCCAACAGGCAGCCGAGCAGGCAAGGCAGGCCACCAGGAACCAGGCAGCCAACGATACTGCCAGAGGGCAGCCGACGAAGCAGCAGCGAGGGGGAATCCCAAAATGGATCCCCTTTGCGCACCTGTGCGCGCATGTCGCGCAGATCTTGGCCATTTTCACGGACAGAAGCCATTCGAACCCATGGCGCTACTGATGGAAAAGGGCATCCGAGATACAGGATGCCCTCATTCAATGGACTGCATCCATTTTCAGGATGCCCCCGTTGGAAGGATGGCCGCAGCGCTGTCTGGATCGAAAGCATTTCGCCCGTCGTTGTCTCCACGCCCGGGGAATGTCGCTGAGATCCTTCACTCATGTATCTCCCGACGGGCACGTCGCAATGCGCCGCTTGTATGACGGTGGCATGGGCGTCAAGAGGATCGCCGCGGCCTTGGACCGCTCCACGGACACCGTCTCGAAGCACCTGCTCAAGAAGAGTGCGACCAAGATGTCCATGGGCCGCCCGAAGCAGTCCATCCGCACCCCCAAAAGATTTCTCGCTGCTCAGCGCGCTTACAAGAAGCTTCTCAAGTCCTCTGGCGGCACGAAAGAAGTGACGGCAGCCATGCTGAAGTCCGAGATGAAGTTGAAATGCGACATCATTCACAGTGCGCCGCGCATTTGCTGAGAATGGCTATCAGTTCCGCCCGCTGCACGAGAAACCTGACCTTTCGGACGGGGACAAGAAGGGGCGCCTGCTGTGGGCCCGCGAGCACAGGCACTGGAGCCCCAGCCAGTGGTCGCAGTACGTCCACGCGCGCATGGACAACAAGGTGTTCCAGGTGCTGCCCAATGCGAAGCACAGGAAGGTGGCGGCGAAGCGCAAGGTTCGCGGGGCGCACAGGAAGCGCAAGCGGGACTTCTCCGCGGGCCACGTCAAGCCGAGCAACCCTAGGGTTCTTAGGCCGGCGCAAGTCGGAGACCGCGCCGAGGCCGCTCAGCGCCCGACCCGCGGCCAACGGCGCGCTCTGGTTTGGCTTGCCACCAGGTTCTGAAGCAGAGTTCGGGCAAGAACTCCGTGACCATCGCGCGCGCCCTCGGCGCGGGCAAGGCGTTGATGCGGCACCAGGTGGTCGGCAGGTGGAGCGCCGCAGCCGCGAGGCGAATGCACACGGGGGCGCTCCAGCCCGCTTTGAAGAGGGCATACCCTTCCGCGCGCGGTAAGTTCAGCGCCATGGAAGACAACGACCCCACGGGCTACAAATCTCGCTCGGGCATGGCGGCGAGGAAGTCCGCTGGCACCCAGACGTTGGACTTGCCGAAGCGGCCCCCTGATCTGATGCCGCTAGATTTCGCCCCCCGGGCCCATCTGAACAAGCGCATGAGACGGCAGGAGAAGGACTGGCCCGCGAACAAGACGGAGACGCGGGCGCAGCACCTGGCCCAGCTGCGCCGCACGGCGTCGGCATTGCCTTCTGCGCGCATCCACGGCGCCAGGGGCAGCCTGCACATATGCCGCGGCTTGCTGGTCGAGGCGAAGGGCGGCCACCTCGCCGAGGCTGCGGGAACTGAGCGCGCGCGCGCGCGGCGTCCTCCGGCGGCCGCGGCGCGACTCGCGGCGGGCCGGGGCGGCGGGCGACCGCGGCGCAGCCCGCAGCGGGCCGGGGCGGCGGGCGGCCCGCAGCGGCCCGCGCCTCGGCTGACACGCGCGAGCGACGCAGGGCGCGGGAAGGGAGCCAGTCGCGGTCTACGATCAAGACCAATCCGTGCGTCTACCGCCACCGCGGCCACAGCGCCAGCAGACGTAATCGAAAGTGGCTTATCTTCGCGTTCTGATTATGTCCGCCGAGGCCCCCCAGGCGCCAGCGCCCCGGCGACCCAGAGAGCCCCGCGCACGAGACATGCAACATAAACATAGTGAACCAACAGTGAACCTTCGTAAAAACCATAGTGAACCTCGAATTCGATCAAGAAGAATATGGAGCTTCTCTTTTATGGAAACCGATGTTCACTATGTAATTTGCCATGGTTCACTGCTGGTTCACTGATGGTTCACTGTAGGTTCAGTGTGGTAGTTTTGTTTACGCATGTTTGCACATGTCCAGCCAATGCCGCGCGGGCGGCACCCATGACCAAAATCCGCCGACCCCGCCCAGAGGTGCAGGGGGTGCGCCGCGGGCGCCAGGCGCGCCAAGCGCGCCGCGTGCGACTGGTGCGCGGCGCGCGACAGGTGGCCAGATAAATGAGGCGCGACAGGCGCGCGCGGCGCGCGCCAGGTGAATGAGGCGCGCCCAAGCGCGACAAGTGCGCAGATGACGCCAGTTGAGGCAAGCTCCCCAATTGAGCGGCCAGGCGGTCGTTTACGATGCCCCCAAAGACCCCGACGGTCCGCGTTGCGTTATTCTCTGTAGCATGTCGGCTCAGCGTGGCGGGGGCTGGCCCTGGCCGGGTCGCGCCCGGGGACGGCGCTTTCGGTGGACAGGCCAGAGTAGCGCCGCAGGCTCGTCGGGAAGCAGAGCCAGCAGACGGCGCTCCTCGAGCAGGTCGTCGGCGAGGAGAACAGGAACGCCTCGCGGGAGGTGCGCTCAGCGACCCTGCCGCGCACGGACAAGGAGGGCCTCGAAACGCCAGCGGCTTTCGCCGACCCCGCGCGGCTCGCCAGCCACCGCGGGCAGGGGGTCGCGCCCGTCGGGGCCAAGAAGTTGGTGGTATGCAAAGAATACCACGCGCCAGTGGCAGGCGTCCGGCGGGCGCACTGCCGCGTGGCCTTGCACTTAGGCAAGAAGAGCAAGTGCTTGACCGTGAAGCGGGCCTTGCTGAAAAAGGTGCCAACTCGCCTCTCACTGGTCCTGCAGCCACGACGGGCACTGGTCGGCGGTCGGCTACTGCGCGAACGCGAGGCCCAAGAAGCCGCGGAGCGCCCTGGACGTTGACTACCTGGCTTGGCCCACGGAGCACCAGCCGCTGACCGCGGCCTGCGATTTGGAGAGGCGCACCGCGCGGGAGCAGGTCTAGTGCGAGAAGGGGAAGCCAGAACCTTACGTCGAGGAAGTGGACCTGTGGCCGATTGCGGTCAGGTCCGGGATCCGGAATTCTCCGGACGACCCCCACGCAGCGCGCAAGTTGACGGCGTGCGCTAGGACGTCTTGCTCGCACAAGGTGGTTGCCTGGATGTTCAAGAACGAGCACGTGCTGGAGAAGATCATCGACAAGGCCTGGGCGTGGATGAACGTGGACAGCTTCCTCGAAGACTCGACGAAACCCGTCATGCAACAGGTCACGGAGGCCCTGCGGACGCCTTGCGTTTGCGGCGGCCGCTGGTTGCAGCACGTCCGCGAGAGCCTGTCGATGAATCGCATCGACGCCCCCGACCGGCGCAGCAGCATCTTGATGTCCCTGAAACACGGTCGGTGCGAGGCGGCCCCGGTGGTCGCGTTGGCCGGGCGCTTCGGCGGAGATGGGAAGTGCCTTCTCTTCTCGGCGGCGCGGCCGCTGTTCGGCGGTGAGCACGTGCAGGGGAGGCTGGGCAGGGGGTAGTTTTGCATCCACGTCTTGGACAAGGCTAAGGCCGCGGTGCTGGACGAGTGGATGTTCATCGACGGGAACCTCCCTGTCCATCCAGCTCCTGTGGCTGGAGGGCAAGCCGGCGCCCATCACTATGCCCCAGAACCAGCACGCCGGGCACAGGGTGTCCATGGGGTCCGCCCCAATGTCTGTCATTTGCCCCGAGGCGGCGCTGGCAGGCCTCTCGTCCGAGTCGTCGCAGCGCCCGCAGGGGCAGGCCGGCATGCTGCTCCTGCGGCTGCAGCTGTACTTATTCATTGTGCCGATTCCGAAGCCGCCAGCCCCGAAGCTAGCGCCGTGCCCGCGCTGTTTCTCGACCCTCGTCACTAGCGAGGCTCTTAAGTTCAAGCCCAAGTAGTCCTGCCGCGTGCGATTGGGGTCGCTGCGCGCAGACATCATCACCATCATCGCCCTCATCACTGTCGCCATTATCGTCGTTGCCACACCTCGTTGCCCCATCGGGAACTCCACGGAAGGCCCCGATGGCTGACTCCGCATGCCGCGCCCCGACAATTTCGGCAGACCCCTAGAGCGTTGCACGACCGCCACGGGCACGTCGTGCTTCTGGCCCGGCACGACCCCGACCATCACCGTCGACGATGCCAGTGCTGTCGCCTCTGGGCCCGTCCGTCAGTCCGCGTGGAGCCTCTTTGGGGAGCCCCCGTGGATCTTCGCAAGGCCCCCTTGGAGGCCCTCTCGGGCGAGGTCTACGACAGAGGCCCCCCGCTGCATTCCGTTAAATTCCATTCATTCCCAACTCCTCCGCAGGCCCCCCACTCCTTCCCAGTCCGCGCCACTCCCCTGCAGTCGTCCGCACCCCACCGCACTCCGCCAACAAAAATTCCGAAACCTCATTCCTCCACGCCCCTCCGCACTATTCCCAACTGCTTCACGCCCTTCCGCGCTCCACCCGAAACCTCCGCAACCGCCCCACTCCCCCCCACCCCTCCGCACTCCTCCCGAACCTTCCGCAACCGTCCCATTCCCCCAGACCCCTCCGCAGTCTTCCCAGAAACTCCGCAATCCTGCCATTCTTCTCACCCCTCCGCACTCTTCCCGAACATCCGCAACTCTCCCATTCCTCCACACCCCGCCGCATTCTTCCCAAAACCTCCGCAAGTCTCCCATTCCCCCACATTCCTCCGCACTCCTCCCGAAACCTCCGGAGCCCTTCGAATTCGGTCCGCCCCTCCGCACTCCTCCCGAACATCCGCGATCCGTCCCATTCCCCCCCACCCTGCGCACTCCTCCCAAACCTTCCGCAACCGTCCCAGTCCTCCACACCCCTCCGAACTCTTCCCGGAACCTCCGCAATCCTGCCAGTCTCTCCGCCCCTCCGCACTTTTCCCGAACATCCGCAACTCTACCATCTCTCCACATCCCTCCGCACTCCTCCCAAAACCTCCGCAACCCTCCCATTCCCCCACATCCCTCCGCACTCCTCCCGAAACCTCCGCAACACTTTTATCATTCCACATCCCTCTGCACTCCTCCCAGACACCCGCACCTCCCCCATTCCTCCAGGCCCCTCCGCACTCCTCCCGAAACCTCCACAACCGTCCAAGTCCTCCACATCCGTCCGCACTCCCCCCGAAACCTCCGGAGCCCGTCCATGTCTCCACACTCCCCCGCACTCCTCCCGGGACATCCGCACATATCCGCACCTCCCCCATTCCTCCACACCCCTCCGCACTCCTCCCGAAACTTCCGCAACCCCCCCATGCCTCCACATCCCCTCGCACTCCTCCCAAACCTTGTGAAACCGTCCCATTCCTCCCCACTCCTCCGCACACCTCCCGAAAGAGACCTCCGCAACCCTCCCATTCCTCCACGTCCTTCCGCACTCCTCCCGACACCTTCGCAACCCTTTCATCCTTCTACATCCCTCCGCACTCCTCCCAAACCTTCTGCAACCGCCCCATTCCTCCCCACCCCTTCGCACTCCTCCCGAAAGAGATTTCCTCCACCATCCCATTCCTCCCCACCCATCCGCACTCCCCCCGAAACCTCCGCAACCCTCCCAGTCCCCCCCACGCCTCCGCACTCCTTCCTCACCTCCCACAACCGTCCCATTTCCCCTCAACCCTCCGCACTCCTCCCAATCCTGTGGGGTTCTCCCATTCCTCCATACCCTTCCGCACTCCTCCTGAAACGTCTCACCCCTTGCCCCAGCGTCTTACGCCCAGGAGCGGAACCTCCATCTTCCTCCTATTCCTTCTCCTCGTTCTCCTCCCCCCCTCCTCCCTCCGGTTCATCATTCCTCCTTGAGGGTTGTGGGTGATGATGATGCTGCTGCTGATGATGCTGATACTGATGATGATGATGATGATGATGATGATGATGATGATGATGATGGTGGTGGTGGAGATGATGCCGCCGATGAGGGCGATTATGATTGTAATGCTGACGTTTGTGGCATCTGTACAGTCTCCTCCTCTCCCTCCTCCCTACTCCCACCTGCAAAACAAGATGGGGGACCGTACATGGACATTATATTCGAACCCTGTGGCCCAAGATGCCCCCCCGAACCCCCGAATTTAATATTGATGGCGTGGCGACGGGGGGGGCGTGAGTGGACAGAAATATTCGAACCCCAAAGCACCGCCTTTGCTGAGATCAACATTGATGTCGGGGGCGCGGGGGTGATTCAGAATCTCCCTCGAATGTGTGAGGGTTCGAATATATTGTCCATCTACTGTCCATGGCAAGGTTTGTGTAGTTCTGCACATTGCTCAAAGCGACCCTCATTAATCCAAGATCCCATGACTTGGGGGAGAAGGTGGAGGAGGAAGCGAAGGATGAGGAGGATAAGGATCAGGATGAGGAGGAAGAGGAGGATGGGGATGAGGATGAGGATGCGGAGGGCCAGGAACAGTAGTGAGAGACAGGAGGAATGAGAAGGATGAGGATGGGAGGTGGTGGGGAGGAGGATCAAGCGGTGGAGCGTGGAGGATTTCTAAGCAGGTGCGGGAGGAGTGAATCAGAGGAGGCAGGGACGAAGAGGCGATGGGAGGGGAAGAGAGGGCATGGGGAGGAGGGGAGGGGAGGGGAAGGGAACGGGGAGGGGAGGGGATCGGAGGGGGCCGAAAGAGGGATGGAAGGAGACGGTCCTGTGAAGGGCTGCCTTGGGCCGTCCTGGAGGCCTCGGAGGCCCCATGGATTACCGGAGCTGCGGGAAGTTCGATTTTGCCTGCCCAGGGTTACATGTTGCTGTCGCCCCACCGTCCACAACAGACATCGGGTGCATTATCGAAAGCTGGAGACGGTCCTGTGGAGGGCTGCCTTGAGCCATCCTGAGGCCTCCGAGGCCCCATCGTTCCCCAGGCTGCGAACGGGTCGGTTTATTCCTACCCAGGGTGATATAGTCAGCGCATACACATGATTGCGATTTTTTCTCTGCACATGTTATTCCTTCGTTCGCCGTCCTTGGGTCCTGGGTTACCACGCTCCCTTCATCGTCGCCATGGCAGATGGATAGGCGCTTGCTCGTGATATTGATGGGGGCGTTGTCTGGTAGGCTTTCAGGAAAGCAGCTGGCGGGCAGCCAACAAGGCAGCCAACGAAGCAGCCTACGAGGCACCCAGCGAGGCGGCCAACGAGGCATCCGACGAGGCAGCCCGCGGGGCAGCCAAAAATACAGCCGTCGAGGCAACTGGCGAAGCAGCCAGCGAGGCGGCCAACGAGGTAGCCCACGAGGCACGAGGCAGCCAACGAGGTAGCCCACGAGGCAGCCAGCAGGCAGCGAGGCGGTCGACAGGGCAGCCAGCAAGGCAACCAACGAGGCCACCGACACAGCACCCGGCAAGGCAACCAACGAGGCAGCCAACGAGACACCCAACGAGGCAGCCAACGAGACAGCCAACAAAGCAGCCAACGAGGCAGCCATCGAGGCAGCCAGCAAGGCAGCCAACAGGCAGCCGAGCAGGCAGGCCACCAGGAACCAGGCAGCCAACGATACAGCCACAGGGCAGCCGACGAAGCAGCAGCGAGGGGGGATCCCCGAATGGATCCCCCTTGCGCACCTGCGCGCGCATGTCGCGCAGATCTAGACCATTTTCACGGACAGAAGCCACCCGAACCTATGGCGCTACTAATGGAATAAAGGGCATCCGAGATATAGGATGCCCTCGCTCACTGGACTGCAGCCATTTTAGGATGCCCCCGTTGGAAGGATGACCGCAGCGCTTTCTGGACCGAGCGCATTTGGCCCGTCGTTGTCTCCACAGCCGGAGAATGTCGCCGAAATCCTTCACTCATGTATCTGCCGACGAGCACGTCGCAATGCGCCGCTTGCATGACAGCGGCATGGGCGTCAAGAGGATCGCCGCGGCCTTGAGCCGCTCCTCGGACACCGTCTCGAAGCATTTGTTCAAAAAGAACACGACCAAGAAGTCCAAGGGCCGCCCGAAGCATTCCATCCGCACCCCCAAAGGGTTTCTCGCTGCCCAGCGCGCTTACAAGAAGCTTCTGAAGTCCTCGGGCGGCACAAAGGAAGTGACGGCAGCCATGCTGAAGTCCGAGATGAAGTTGAAATGCGACATCAAGACAGTGCGCCGCGCGTTTGCTGAGAATGGCTACCAGTTCCGCCCGCTGTACGAGAAGCCTGACCTTTCTGATGGGGACAAGAAGGAGCGCCTGCAGTGGGCCCGCGAGCACAAGCACCGGAGCCCCAGCCAGTGGTCACAGTACGTCCACGCGTGCATGGACAACAAGGTGTTCCAGGTTCTGTCCAATGCGAAGTACAGGAAGGTGGCGGCAAAGCGCAAGGTTCGCGGGGTGTACAGGAAGCGCAAGCGGGACTTCTCCGTGGGCCACGTCAAGCCGAGCAACCCTAAGGTTCTCGGGCTGGCGCAAATCGGAGACCGCGCCGCGGCCACTCAGAGCCAGGCCAGTGGCCGACGGCGCGCTCTGATTTGGCTCGCCCCCAGGTTCTGAAGCAGAGTTCGGGCAAGGGCTCCGTGACCATCGCGTGCGCCATCGGCGCGGGCAAGGTGTTGATGTGGCACCAGGTGGTCGGCAGGTGGAACGCCGCAGCCGCGGGGCGAATGTGCTCGGGGGCGCTCCAGCCCGCTTTGAAGAGGGCCTACCCTTCCGCGCGCGGCAAGTTCCGCGTCATGGAAGACAACGACCCCACGGGCTACAAATCTCGGTCGGGCATGGCGGCGAAGAAGTCCGCTGGCATCCAGACGTTGGACTTGCCGAAGCGGTCCCCTGATCTGATGCCGCTTGATTTCGCCTTCTGGGCCAATCTGAACAAGCGCATGAGGGGGCAGGAGAAGGACTGGCCCGCGAGCAAGACGGAGACGCGGGCGCAGTACCTGGCCCGGCTGCGCCGCACGGCGTTGGCGACGCCTTCTG